CTCACACCTGCACTTTCCACGCAGCAAAACCCTCCTGGCCAGGGAAGTCCCTTCCCCTCCTGCGAACGCCGCCGACCCAGATGAGTGTGAAACCAGGAACGAGAGGAAAATCAAAAGCAGTCAGCAAGCCCCAAAGGGCAGCCAATGTCTCCAGCTAGTTGCTAGATGGAGTCTGGGACACCTTTATAAAGCATTAATAATCCCAAATCCAGCTGTTTGCGAGGTCCTGCGCACCATTGCAGCAGCCCCTGACTGCGCTGGCACATCCTGCAGGAACGTTCTTGTGGGACAGGACACGGGGCTGCTGCTGTGCTCACTGCTTCTCCTGCAGTATGGGAAGAGATGCAGGCAGGCAGCCACAGGAAGGAAAATAACTCCCAGCAATTAATGCACGATGACAATGGAGAAGCAGGGAAAGAGGAGGCCGACGCATCTCACCCGACTCCCGAGTTCTCTGTGGCGATGCCTGGAGAGCAGGAACCTGCACGTCGTCAGTCAGGGGCTCCACCACTGCAGTGCTGCTGAGGCAGGCACATATTCCAGGCTCTCCAGCTTCCCTCCTCCCAGCCAGGCTCTGTGCAGCGCCCGCATCACTCACTCACTCCCGGGTTACGGTTCCATCTCCTCTCCAGGGGAGCGGGAGGGAATGGCTGCAGCATCTCTGCTCAGAAAACAGCCTGTTCTGCAAAGGATGTGCCAAGGACTGGAGCAAAGTGCAGCTCAGCAGCATCCTTTCCTCCTCTCATCTCCGTGAGCAGCGAGGGGAGGGGAGGGATCTCGGCTGTGAGCAGGAGACACAAACCAAGGGCTCCGTCTGCTCGTTTACAGAGCAGCAGCAAATTAACCCAATCCAGCAGCTCCTGCCCAGCCCGGCAGAGCTCAGGGCCCCTCTGAGGACACCCAGGGAGTCAGGAGCCCTTCAGCACACACAGCCCTGCACTGCACCTCCCAAAGGCACCAACAATTCCGTGTGGGAACCCAAGGGCCAGGCCTGGAGGAGTAACTTTGGTTCCTGCACATGGCACCAGTGTGGGAGGGGGCAGGATAAAAGGGGGGTGGGCTCTTCTGTGGCAACCACCCCATCACCTGAGCAAAGCAGATGTGCCAGTTCAGGCACTTGTGAGCAGCCCTGTCTGCACCAGCTCAGTCCTTGTCCCTCACAAAAACCACTGCTGGGTGCAAACCCACGGGCAAAGCCCTGGGCAAACTGCACAGGGGGAGGCTCTGCTGCCCTTCCCTGTGACCATCCCCCCAATTCCAGCCCTTGATGGTCCCTTTTGTGTTAAAAGAATGGCCAAACAGGGATCAATGTCAACTCCTCAGCAGCTACTTGACACTCACAGGTTCTTTAGGCTGGCAAGAAGCTGAGATGCAAACTTAATTGTACAGACACTATGGGTCACTTTTCTGTCTGAGAAGTTTTCTTGCATTTCTTTTCCCTTTGTTTCTTTTCCCTTTGAAGTTCCTCCAATTCTGTTACTTCCCCACAGACCAAAGTAGGCACAAAAATCAGGAAAAAAGACTGGGCTACAGTTTTTAAAGGATACGACGACTGAGAATGTAGAGAAGGACCTGATAAAATATGAAGACTAGGAAATCATAGAATTTTACAACGTGTTTGTGTTTCCAACCACAGCTTCAGTTTTGTGCATTGTACCCACGTGGATAAATAACACAGTCAAGTCTAGAGCCCACCTCTTAACTCCTGTGGAGCCAGAGCTCCGGGCAGGAGCCACAGAGACCCCGGCACAGCTGGGTGAGGTGCTGAGGCACTGCTGGGTGAAGTGCTGAGGCACTGCTGGGTGAGGTGCTGAGGCACAGCTGGGTGAGGTGCTGAGGGGGTCAGGCCGTGCAGGGACCCTGCCTGGCTCTGGGGATGCAGCTCTTGGCTGCCACAAAGAGAATTTCCTCAGTTTGCTCTGGGAACCAGAAGCTCCAAACAAAGGGCTGGGAAAAAAAGCAGCAGCATTAGAGAATAGGGACATTTAAGCAACTCAGAGGGTAGAGATGTAAAAGCCAACTAAGAAAGAAGTTATTGATCACAAAACAGGCCTGGGACATACTATTGCAAGGTAACCTCACAGCTCAGAACTCAGAAGAGCTCAGGAGATCTCAGAGGTACAAATGCAAGTGCTTTGAGTGACCGAAGGGAGACACTTCCAGAGGAGGTGCAGATTCATCCCCACGTGTGTGATCAGCTGCCAAGCCAGAAAAGGCCTCACTGTGGGAAGGTTGTTCTGCAAGTGCAGACTCCAGTAACTGCTTGAGTGGCCATTCTTGGGGCCTGGATGTGCTCAGACAGAGAACTTTTCAAAGTGCTGTTCCTGACCATGTCATTGATAAAACCCCTCTCCCTGCTGCCCTCTGTGTTACTGCTTGAACTGCAAAGCACCACCAGTGCCTGCCCACGGAGCAGAATAGACTCCAGAGAGCCCCAGGTTCAGACTCCATCTGTAAATCAGAGGGATTATTGATCTGATGCCCTTTAGGTACAGCCTGAAAGGCACCAGAAGCATCATCTGCCGTTGCCAGAAAAGGAAGGAGCACTTGAGCAGAGGAATCTCTTTCCCCAGTGCAGCTGAGGTATTTGTGCTTTTCTAGGGCTGGAAACGTTTCCCTGTTCAAACTCATTTTCCTTATCACCTCACCCAGAGCAATATTGTATTTCTGCAGCCCCTGACTGTATCCCTGTTATCTGCAGCTGTACATGTGCTGCCAGAGCTTCCAAACACTGCTACCCCAGAACATCACAATTCCCTTTTTACCTTCCTGCTGCACCAACATTTACTGCTTGGGCTCACTGGGCCCCGTGCAGAATTTGGGATGAAGGTTCTTGAGGACAAGGACCGGGTTTCCAAGCAGATCACAGTGCCTGTCTCACAGCTGGATGGACAGAGGGATGATCAAGGGTGTCTGCCATGGCCTCTGAAGACACTGTTCTGTTCAGTGCTTTCCTTTGTCCCCAGCCATCACCTGCTGGCTCCTTGCTGTCCATCCCCAGCCAGCTCTGATCACCCTCTGGGGACCAACTCCTGTGCCTGGCTTTGGTCTCAGGAGCGTGTTCACAAACAGAGCAAAGGAGGACAAGGACACTCCGAAAGCAGCTGCAGCCTCGCCCACTTCAGACTGCAGGGGATTTTTATCGGGAGGGAACACACAGCAAGTGGAACCTGCCCCCTGCAGAACAGCTCCAGCTCCTCCCAGCAGCGCTGACTGAAGCCCTGGGTCAGGAATCTGCTGTCCAGTAACAGTTCAGTTCTTCCCCTTTTTCCTTTTCCCCAAGATTCCAGGGGGAATTTCACCCCTATTGAATTCTACATTCAGAGCTTTGGCCTGGGAAATGGGCTTTGGAATTTCACTTAACTCACCCTGTCTTTTTTTTTTGTCCAACAGTGATTTTTATCTTCCTTGGAGAAATTGTTTGGGAAATATCCAGAACTGTAGATGTGTCAGATCTTGTTGCTGCTTGTTCCTATTGGTTAAAATGGGAAAACAGAGGAGGACAATTTCAGTAAACAGACTTTCTCCTATAGCTGGAAGGTACCACAGGCATCTATTAGCCAACATGTGAATAGAAAAGGACTTTTCAAGAGCCTTATTTAATTTTTTGGCACAGAACACCATATTTATCACTTTTCCCTTGCAAACAGATTATTTGTGCTATGATAACTCTCTGTTATCTCAATCATAGACTGAGATTCTGCCATGTGACAAATGACAAACACACCAACAACAGAGTCCCTGTCTAAAGAGTTCACAGGGGAAAGTGTTTGGCAAAGGAGAACAAACAGATACTGACAGGGGAATCTTTGTGAAAATTATCACACAAAATGAACAAGGTCATGGTGTGCCAGTTCCACACACAGAACCTCCCATAAGGAAGGAAGCACAGGAACAAATTCCTGATTCTCTCTGCAAGGCACTGCAGCTGTTTCAAGAGATTAAGCATGTAGCTGGAGTCCTGCCTTGCTCTGGGTGAAAATCAATGTTTGGTGAAGTTGCTGAGATTCTCTGTATTCGGGGCAAAAGGATTTTACATTCAAAGCTCAACTTCAGGCAGCTATTTTTAGGTAAATTATTCTGGCTGACAAGCTGTGAAGATAAAAGATGCTGCAGGCCTCACCTCAGCTGCTGTAAACTTGGTGTGGCTCAGTCAATCTGCATCCCTGCTACTGCAGAGCTGGGATGGAGCTCAGCAAGGAGCTCTTTCCCCGAGCTGGGAGCCTAATTAAGAATGTTCTCCGCTTTTTAGCTTTTCCCAAATTATCTCACTAATGAGCTTTCAGAAATCACGGAACCCTCCAAGACATTCTCCTTTCAGTCCCTTTCAAGACCATGATTCCAGGCTCCCAGGCAGCAGTTTGTTGCTGTGGGTTGCATTTGAACTCTTCCCTGTGTGCTGAGAGCTGCCAACAGACATTTTGGTCCCCCCATCAACCAATTCAGAGCAAACGTGGCAGTGCTGAACAGAGCAGCTCTCCCCCTTCCCCAGCACGAGCAGAGCCTGCAGAGCTGATCCCACCCTGCTCTCAGGTACCAAAGGTCCTTTGGCACTTCAGGACAGCCAGAGCTCAACGTCTTGGCTTGGCAAGGCTCTCAAAAAAAACCCAAACAAACAAACAACCAAACACCCAACAAACCAAATCCCTTTCCCTGTTGAGTCCCTCTCCACGGGTGGGATTTATCATCACACTCGAGCAGGGGGTGGGGTTTTGTTTGTTGTCATTTTTTAACCAACAATGAACAGTGCAGCCTATGGGATCAAATAATGGGGTTTATAGACAGTTTTACTTTCTCAGGACATCCCCATGAGGGCCCCTCTGTGCCAGAGCCTTTGGGAGGTGCCCGTGGGCACTGGGGCTGCTCTGACAGAGATCTGTGAGTGAATTCCCAGTGTCACCTCCCTTCCAGGTGAAAAGGCCAAGAGGGAACTGTGTTCCCAGGGCCAAGGATCAGGGATTCACCACCCACGTGGAAGAAAAAAAATCCACACGCACAACTGACATCCAAAATGGCTCAACATAATTTATTTTTTATGTTAAAATGTACAGAGTTCTTTTGAAAGTACTTGCTAGAAAGGGGAAAAAAAAGTGATATTACATACAAGGAGAGGAAGGGAGACCATCCAGCCAGGAGCGTATGACATGGAGAATTACAAAGGCATCTGGGCACCCCCTTCCCCTTTAGCTTACAAGTCACCATGAACAAAGTACAAAGAGGTTACAAAACAGGAAAAGCAAATATAAACAGACAGGAATAGACTCAGCTTCATTTGTACATGCGGCTTTTAGAGGCATCTGGAGCTCCTATTCACACACTCTAGAGATCTCTTTAAAGAGAATTTTATCTTTCTTAAAATAGTTTTTAATATTCTACAACAAAGATAAAAAATTTTAAAGATGGAATGAAATGAAAAAGCTCTTATTTTTAAAAGGCATCAAAGTCACTAACTGTGAGATTTTTTTTTTAATTTCTTTTAGAAGATTACCCAAGTTATCTTGCTAAAAATACATTTTTTTTTTTAAACAGAAGTGAAAAAATGGTAGGTACCAATATTACTGCGTTGGATAATTTCTTTTTATATATAGAAAAGAACTTTTTTTTCTACAATAGTTCTACAGTCACAAAGGCTTGTGGAAAAGGGAGCTGCCCAATTGATAAAAAAACCCATACAAAACCAAACCAAACATAACAGCAAACAAACTAAATTCACGGCCCTCATTTCAACAGCTTCTCCTCCTGTCTCAGACCCACCCCCACCCCCAGGAAGCAGCGACACAGCTGAAGATCAAGGAAGAGAGGGCAGCACAGTGCGCTTTCTACACGGGTTATTTGGAACTGGAATAGTATATACAGAGAAACGGGGTCCTACACAGCCTTGTACATGCTCAAAATTAAACAGAAATAAAAAGTGGAAGTCCTTTGAATTCTGCCTTTTATGGTTAGCAGTTACTGGAGGAAAGTCCATTTTAGTGCATCTGAAAAAACCCCAACTTTCTTTTAGACTCTTTTGGTTTAAAAACAAAAGAAATTAGTCTTATTAATGTGTCTGTATCTCTACTTCATATACAATAAAAAAAGAACTTTACATTAAAGGGTGTCCCTTTTTGTACTGGGTGACGTGCCAGCAGTGTAGCCAAAAAGAATGTAAATTGGATTATGCAGCAACAAACAGCAAAATCCTGCAGCCTCCATCCTGCTCCGGTGCTGGGACGGGTTCACTGCTGTCAAACAGGCCGATTCCCTTCTTTGCCCACACCAGATCAAACGTGGGGCTATTCCTATAAAACGGGGATCAAACACAGTGGGAGAATCAGGGAGCACATCACCGACTCCCCCAGAGAGTGGCACATTCAGCAACTTCCTACCCCAGACCAGAGATGGGACAGGGACAAGGACCCCGCGGGGCTCCCAGTCACCAAACACTTCATGTTCCAGCACTTCCCAAGCCAAGAGAGAACTGGAAGCAGCTGCTCCTGAGCTCAGCCCGACCCCAAGCTCAGAGCCAAGACCCTCAGCATTTCCAGGGACACACAGAGCAGTTGGGACCCCGGAGCTGGGGCTGACCCCGAGTCCCCACAGGAGCCACATCCTTGTCCCCGCAGCCATCGCCCCCGTCCCCCCGGTGCAGGGGACACACACGAGCTCTCTGGGAGCTCTCCTGAGGTGCTTCCAGCAGTTCCGTGCCAGGACGTTGTGCAGCCCCCACACGTGTGTCCACGGGCACGGCTGGGTGGGGAATGGGATCACTTTAAAGTTACATCATATTTTCAGCATGAAACATACAATTTCAATTAACTCATCTACAAAAACACCAATGTGAATAGTTTATTGTTTACACCTAACTCCAAATTTTACTGAGGGTGAGGGAGTCAGGGAAAATTAAAGATTAAAAATTTTTCCTGACTTGCAGAAATAAAGATCTTCATTTATCCTCTGTGTCCCCTTCCAAGTCTCCCAATAAGTGCCTCCTGCTAGAAGTAGGAAATGCTAAGTGGGGTTTAGAGGGAAGGGTTGTTATTCTTTGAGATGTTAAACATTTTACACGGCTGCAGCACTAGAAACTGCATACAGAGGGGCACAGGGGAGGGAGAAGGACGTACATTTTTTAAAAAATTTAGGAACATGATTTCACTGTTACACATAGTCTGTCCACTTTGTCAGCAAAGTAAGGCTCTTTTTAAATTATGAAAAGATTTTGTGCATGTTTTCCTCTCTAAAAAACATCTGTAAATGATTTTAGCTGTAAAATGTTTGAGGATTGTGAAGAAAACAAAAACAAACAAATAAACAAACAAAAAAAAAATCAAAAAAATAAAGACCAGGCTTCCTAAAAAATAAAATAAACCAAAGAAAATCCCTCTAAATCTACAGCAATATTTTAACTGGAAAAAGGTCCATTTTCTCTGGTTTGTCAGTATAAAAGGTTCCTTTATTTATATATATTTCAGTTTTTAGGACGCAAGTTCATCTTGCTCATCTTCTCATGTACGGTCCATTGAGGGACTGCTTGGGCACCCCGGCAGCGTTCATGTAGCTGTGATGGGAGGGGCCCGTGTACATCATGTTCCCGTGAGGGTTTGGCTGCATAGGCTGCTGGGTGTAGGCCTGGCTGCCCATCATTCCCATCTGCATCTGCATAGGATACTGTGCTGTCTGGTTCATGTAGGCAGGGTTGCTATGGTAACTGCTGTTCATCATGGGCTGCGTCATGCGGTAGCTGTTCATGGCGTTCAGGGTGTTCATGTTCATGGAGTTCACGTTGTAGGGGGCCGTGGGCATCAGGTTGACGCCCATGTTCATGCCGCGCTGCACGGCCAGGGCTCGGGGTCCCGCCTGCATGGCCACGGCCGGGGGGCTGCGCCCGTACAGCTGCTGCTGGTGCGCGGGCGCCGAGGGCAGCGGCGCCGACTTGGAGCGGATGGAGATGTGCCCCTTGACGGGCATCTGGCCCTGCAGGCGCTGCGCGTGCCCCAGCCCGATGTTGGCGGCCGACATGTTGCACTGCAGCAGCGGCGACGTGAGGTTCATGGTGGTGGGGGCCAGGTTGGGCGGGGGGGTCATGGTGGCTTGTGCTTGCGGGGCGCCGGCCAGGGGGTGGGAGGGGGCCAGCTGGGCCAGCCCCGTGTTGGACAGAGACACGCTGGTTGCATAGGAGGTCACGGCAGGAGAATGGCTATAAGGCATGGCGTGGGGGTCCATGATGGTGTTGGTCAGCTGCTGCAGCTTGGCCAGGCTGAACGTGGCCGAGGGCTGGGAGTAGCTCCCGGCCCCGAAATCCCCCGGGATCCTCTCGTAGATGCTGATGTTGCCGGCGCCGCCCGACTCGGGGATCTCCATGATCATGGGGGCCGGGGTGAAGCTGTTGTTCATGCTACACTGGGACAGCGGCGGCTGCTGCTGGGGCGGAGGGGGGGGCTGTGGCTGCTGGGACTGGGGCTGCTGCTGCTGGGGCTGCGTCGTCGGTTGCTGGTTGCTCGGGGGCCTTTCCACCACGCAGCTCTGAGGTGACTTGATATTACAGTTTGCTGCAGGCTGGACAGTGTTTTGCTGCATCATGCTGCAACTGCTGCCAATGTTTGCCATTTGCTGAGTGACAACACAACTGTTCTGAGTGAGGCTGCTGGAAGAAGACAGTCCTCCGTAGGAACAGCTGCTCTGGGAAGAGTTATTTCCACAAATGCTGCCTCCCATGGTGGAGTCGTAGCTGCTGGGGTTTTCATAATTCTCTGTAGTGCTCTCAATGCTGCCAAGGTCACTGAAGCCACTATCCACCACCTGCTGGGAGTGGTCCGATACTGAAGGCACATCCATCATGGGGCTGGTCTCCATGTTCTGCATAGAGGGTGCGGACAGGGATCCCTGCTCAGGACTGATCTGGGTGTAGCTGCTCTCCAGGGCAGGCACGTTTGGGCTGCTGACAGAACGCACAGACTGGCTGGGGTGGGACTGAACAGAGGAGATTGGGCTGTTGTGTTCTGAGGCCTGGCAGTCTTCAACCATCGATATCTGAGGGTCCTCCTCAGTCTGGGTGTAACTCTGCAAAGTCTGACAAGCTGCAAGAGTCTCCTCACAGTCCTGGTAAGCTACATCATGCTCATTGCTTTCCTCCTGTGTCAGGGACTGGACTGCTTGAACAGTTTCAAGATCTAGTTCACTATGAGGAATCTCTTCCTCTTCCTTTAATTCAATTAACCCTTCTTTATTACTTTGTTCTTCTTCGTGATCATCCTCAGACCCAGGGACGTGCTCTGAGCCCACTGATGTCTCGTTGGAAGCCTGCTCTTCCTCAGAATCTGCCTCTGCTTCATCTTTTTCTTTTGCATCTTCTCTACTGCTTGGTATGCTTGTTTCTAAAAAACATTCTTGCCCCTGAGGCTCTTCCTTGACCCCTTCTCTAACAGGCTGTTCCTCCAGTTCTTTTTTCTTCACTGACTCCAGATGACCATCATCTTCGTCGTCAGCGTCGTGATCTTCATTTTCATTGGTCACCACTGCAACTTCCTCTTCTTCCTCATGGTCGTGCTCAGGTTCATCGAGTTCTTGCTGCTCCTCTTCTGATTGCCTCTGCTCTTCTAAAACCCGTGGCTTCTCCTCTACTTCCTCTTCTATCTCAGGCTCTTTGACTTCTGGCACTGGACTGCTGTTGCTGTCCACAGGAGAAACTGCTCTTACTTCATTGCTGGCTATATCTTCCTCTTCTCCCTCTCCTACCTCTTCTGCTTCCATATTCACATCTTCCTCTTTCCTTTCCTCAAGGAGAGGCAGGTCTTCTTTCTGCTCAACACATTCTTCTTTATCCGAGATTTTGGGCTTACGCCCTGGTTTTGAATTCGCTGCTGCTTCATCAGCTCCTTCATCCTGAACTGGTGGTGGCACCTCTTCCTGGGTCAGTTTAAAACCTGGTTTTCGACCAGGTCTTTTCTTCCAGTGGACTGGTTTTCGGCTTTTCCCTTTTGGCCATCCCTTCTTCTTTTTCAGGGGTGTGGAAGTGTCTGGCTCAAGTGAAGAATCCTTTGCTTCGCATTTCCTCAGCAGAGACAACGGTTTCAGAGGGGGGTTACCTGAAAACACAAATTGAAAGACACCGTTCAAACGTTTTTGTTTGACCTGAGCATTCCTGGGAGCCTTCCCAAGCACACCCAACATGTTTATCAACTTCAACATTAGCTTGGAAATTTATTGTGAAGAGCAACAAGGAGGATCAAGGTCTGCTCATTAGCAAGCATGATGCACACTGCATTTTCAAAGAATAACAATGCTTTCAAGATTCTGAATGTTCAAATCTCTGAGCCTTTATACACAATTCCAATTAAGCTCTATGCTATACAATAAAGCCCTGAAAAGACAGATTTTACTGATAAAATATGTTCACAAATGGAAGTGCTGCAGCGTAGGGGAACACGTGAAGTTACAATAAAAACGTGTTTCCATTTAGATCTGTATTCGTAGTATTTGTTAAAGCATTAACACTTAAACCCTTAAGAATAAAATCCACCTCCTAAAAAAAATAAATCACTATTTCTCTTCCCTGTCTTTCCCATTTCATATCTGCTACAGCAGATGAGATTTATCACATTCACAGTAAAACTTACAGACTGAACAAGGGAAAGTAAAATAACACAGTTCAGCCTTTTACTGAGCTTCACCTTCCCCCACACAACGCTGCTCAAGTTGCACAGAATTGGTAGAACACAGAGAAAAAGCTTTGTTTTCCACACCACAGAACACCTTCTGTCTCCTAGAACACCTGACCCTTATTAAAAACTGGCCTCAAATCCCCACCTGCATTAAAGGCAAGAGCAGCCAACAGATCCTGTTTGATGTCAGGAACAGAACACCCTAAAATAGTGTGCTTACTGCTTATTACCTCACAGGTTCTGACAAAATTGCAGAAGTCAGGGGAAATTAAAAAAGGCAACAGAAATGAGACAAGGGAACAGAAAGCACCAAGTGACAAGTATTTATAAAATAGGTGAGCAAGAAATTTATCATTGTAGTATGTAACAGGTGTGAGTTAAAACAGTGGCTTTCCAAATACTACTTTTGATCCCTGGGCACTCTATGGACTATTTGTAGTCTGCAAAAGACAGTTAAAAATCATTGATTTATTTTATAAAACAATGTATGTGAGTGGAATCTCTAAAGGGATCTGCATCTCCACCAGAAAACATTCAGAAGAGCACAAAAGACTGAAAACAACTGGTCTAACAGCTCTGTCCCCAGCCCTACAGTCTTATTAATGGTTGCTTGAGTACCACAAAAATGTATTTAATGAGTAATCTGACCACAACAGAATTTAAAAAACAATGGTATAAGATGACTGTGCATATCTTCCCACTAAGCAAACTTAATGCTCTATCAGCACGTGTTTGAACTAAATCAATATAGTTCTATGCTGTTGTAAGGATTTAAGGGTAACTGATGCTAAACAGATAGTAAACTGTGCTATGATCATACTGAAGCTTTTAGTATTTAAGTACTTTTAAAGAAAAATTCTCTTCTGGTAACCACAGCCTCGTTGAAAGCCATAAATTAATGAGTTCGTTCCAGTAACAGTTTTTTATTGTGGGATAATGGCACCATACTTGTTTCTCATACAGGTTTTTACTTGGCTGTTTTGCACTGTGCAGCCCATCAAGGAAACAGCCATAACGAAGATTGCTAATGGAGCATCTAATGACAGATGCTGCTTCTGTGGACTCTACACAACCAGTCTCAACCAAATAATTTTATTTTGTGAACTGAAGGTTCAGAGAACTTCAAGGAGATGTGAGAAGCTGAGTGCCTGAACATGCAATGTGATGAAGAAGAGGATCTCAGAAGAGACAATTTAATATTTCCCTTTGTTATGGAGAATTGAGGGCTCCCAGTTCATGTTCATTTTATTTCTGTGAGTGACCCTGCTCTGTAGGTTCTCCCACAATCACAGATACAAATTCCATTAGGAAAGCTGAATCACAAGGATAAGCCTGTGATCAGCTCATGGCTAATGAGATAGTTAAATGCATTTTCATAAAACTTGGGAGTGCTTGAGGCTGGTTTGAACTGGTAATTTATGCCTACCCTACATTTGGGCCAGAAGGTACAGGACAAGGTAAGCAACTTGTTCTGTCCTGAGCTGTTACCACATCAAACTTTCACCAGCACACCTCCAAACGTACCATTATTGTCATCAGACTCCTCCTCGTCTTTGGACTTCCTCTTGGAAGAGGGTCTGTGCCTGAGCGGGTCTGGTGGGGCCAAGTGCCGAAAGTATCCACTGGACAAGAGTTCACTCTCCTCCTCCTCGTCCTCCTCCTCCTCCTCCTCCTCCTCGATCTCAAAGGTGGGCTCCAGTCGGGGCATGGGCCGCTCGGAGTCCGAGTCCTCGAAGGGCTCGTCCAGCACCTCGGTGGTCTCGGAGATGGTCTCGGTGACGACGCTGCTGTTGTGGTGTTTGCGCTTGCGCACGCGCCTCTTGCGGTGCAGGATGGGCTTCTGGGGGGGAATGTGGGAAAAGAGAAGGCATTTCAGCAAGGGAGGCAGAAACAAAACACTGATAAACACGAAAAGAAAGGAATGGCAGAGTTCAGCGGCCCAAGCAGGACCAGAGGGCTCCCCCCTGGAACCCAAAATTCACCAGAAACACTGATGAGCACCTGCCATCAGTTAGAATTTAAACAGCTGAGGTTCACAGCCCATCCATAACAGCTGGAGTTCAGAGACACCACAACACAGAGGTGAATAGTTTAGAATAAGCTGCAAAGATGATATAGGAGAGAACTTTTTAGCGCAGCTTCCCACCAAGAGAGGATCTGCTTAGTCACGCTGATAGAATTCACATCTCCACCTCCACAGTAAATAATTTCAAAGACTTTATGCTGTGATTTCAGTTGTTTAGAGAGCATTTGTGGTTTGCAAGCTTCTTTCATAAGTAGGACCATATCTTTTTCTATTTTGCATAACTGAGTAAAACTTTAATAACCAAGGTAGAAAAATAACCCAAGGCACGAGATAGAATTAAAAAACCCCAAACTCCTACCCCCGATTCAACAAAAACCACCACTAAAAAAAGTCAGTAGGACTTCAGAGAGAGTTCTGGAACACTGAGCATGTGCCACCTGTCCACTTAACACAGACCTCATGAACTGCACCATCCTTCAGAAAGCCCCAACATCCTGACCAAACCGACTGCATGATCCAGCCAGAGCCAAGAGGAAACAATGCACACACCTTCCGTTTCAACGTCGGCTTGGTGAGGACGGGCGGGGAGCTGGACCGAGGGCTCACGGGCTCATCGTCCTCCTCCTCACTGCTCTCACTGAAACACCTCAGCAGGGCCCTGTCGCTGTCGCTGTAGCGCCGGGGTAACCTGTCACAGTCCTCTGGGAACCTGCACTTGGGTGGCTCCGTGTTCTTCTTCAGCTGCCCCCTCCACCTCTCCACGCCCTCGCTGTGCCGCCGGCGGGGAACCGCCGCCTTCTCCCCTTTGCCGTACTGGCCCTGGGGACCCGGGGACTTCTCCTCATCCTCAGCATAGCGGCCCCTCAAGGCTGGAGACTTCTCCTCGCACTCCCCACACCTCCCCTGCAGGGCCGACTTCTCCTCGCAGTCGCTGCAGCGGCCCCGTGAGGCCGCTGATTTCTCCTCGCACTCGCTGCATCTCCCGCTGGGCAGCGCCGCCTTGTCCTCCCCGGGCAGGGCCGGCTCCTGCTCACCGAAGGGCTCTCGCAGCTTTTTGCTCTTGCGGTTCCACCGCCCCCTCCGGGAGGGCTGGCTGTTGGCAGGAAGACTGTCCAGGGGGAAGATGTGCTTGTCTGCTCGCGCGGAGTTGGCCGGAGCGACGATGTCGGGCTTTTTTTCGCTCTCCGGAGGTGAGTAAGGCTCCTGCTCTTTCTTCTCCCATGACACGGATTTTACCATCTGATTGAAACAAAACCAAACAGATTTCACACTTCCTATTTCAGCAGGCATGTCTGTCCTGAATTTGACTCCACAAAAGCTCTCAAGCAAAAAGTCAGAAAAGTTTAACAAGAGTGACTTTTAAGGATCCGAGATTAAAAAGAAGAATTGACCTTTATGAGATTCAAGAAGTGCCACCTGCTACTCCTTTCCTCACTGGTGATAATGCACCTCAATTAGCCTCCCAATTAACTGACTGCAGTCAGCAGCAGCCACTCGGTGGCAGGCTGGAACACCAACCATCACCTTGCTACCTTCCAACACCGTGTTTGGGCCATTTTCAAGAAAAAAGTGAGACAAACTTGAATCTATTTTCCCATTGAAATGCACAATTAGCTTAATGTAACAGCAGATAATTTGCCTCAGTATTCTAGTCAGTGCTGATCACCTGGTGTGAGAGTGCAACCCCTTCAAGGACTGTTCTCCAGACTATGCCTCCACGTTTTCTCTATTTTTATTTTCTAACCTGAAACCATAAAGATACATCAACTTATTGCTTTTTATGATTATGACAAACGCTCAAACTTTGTTAGCACTGCCTGCAAAAGCACCGAGGGTAAACCACGTGCCCCCCTGGAGGAACAGATTCACTCTTACACTGGTCTCTGGATCCTTTTCTTTCTGCTGTTGTTGCTCTTCATTTTCACCATCCTCTGTCTCCTCCTCCTCATCCTCAGAGACCACGGAGTTGGAGACGATGACGGGCGTCCAGCGCAGACACTCTGCGTCCACGTCGATGGGCCGGACGTTGGTCCTGAGCTTGGCCATGTGCTCCTGGATCAGCTTCTCCCGGCGGACGATCACAAACCTGGGCAGCAACACTCCATCAGTAACAGGGGACACACTGCACGTGCTGGCACGTGGAACAGACGTGTTACAGGAAAACCTGGGTGCTCTCAGTCAGTGCTGCCACGAACAACTTCAGAGGACACAGAGCTCATTAAAACTGCACAATTTCCAGCACCATCACACTACCAGAGAAACCACCTCACAGCTGAGGAAACACTAAATTCTTTCATTTCTTGTTAATGGTGAAGCCTTTATCCTGCCATGGGTAACACTGAGCTGCAGAGTATCACTTTTATGACACTTAAATAGACAAGGGGTATGGCTTTTGGGGAACTGGCAATATGAGGTGAAAGGTACTAAAGGGTAATAAAAGAACCACTTAAGAAGTTTTAGTCTTGCTATCATAAGTGAATTTTATTCAGGGGGCTGGGAGCAATATCACTGGTTAAAGTATACTGTGAAATGAGGAAATAAACCTCATTTCTCCCAGTGACCTATCCCACTCTTCAAGCATTCCATGTTATCCCACACAGTTTATGGCATTTTTGAGATGCAGAGAAAAGGAGGGAAACAGCTCAGAAACAACTGTCTGCTCAGGAACTGAGAATAAGGAGCAGAGCTCCCTTCAGAGAAGGGAAGCTGCTGTTCTTTGCTCTGTTTTGTGAGGATATTCCACTGATTTTGCTGAGGGACCCCAAGAGAACATGACCAAGGGACCAGCTTGCTTTCTCTCCCAGCTGCAAGTTCCTCTGCAGCTCCACACCTGCAGTGCTGCACAGCTGGACACCTGACCCAGCTCTGGCACTTCTTGCATTGTAAATGAGCACCATAATCTCTACAGTCAGTACCTGGACACTAAAGTCTTAAATGAAATCAGGCTTTCTACATGTGCCCTGTCTCCCAGCCCCACTAAACCTCACTGCAATCCCCCTGAAGGCCCCTGGGGTTCCAGAGGCTCCTGTACTCACTGGTCACTGCGGAAGTCGAGCATCCGCAGGTGATGGAGGGTGGAAGTGATGTCTTGAGGGCAGATCCCAGTCAGCTTGCTCAGCTTCTTGATGCTCAATTGCTTGTCACGTTGATGATAAAGGCACTCCAATATGACACTTTTCCAGTAAGCCATGTATGAGAGGCGCCCCAGGTCTGACAGGGGCTTCTCTGGGGATCCTGCTTGGCCCTCACGCTTTGAAAGCAAATAGCCTGAAGGACACACAGGGAAAAGGTTTCAAAAAAATACCTTCTGTTTCCACCCCAACTTCTGCAAAGGCATTTCTCCAGAAAGCAGCTGAATGCTGCCTACAAGATACAGATGATAACTTTGAAGGATTCTCCAAATTGTTCGGTCAATTTTTTATTTGTTTGTTTAAACTCCTGTTATTCAAGGCTCAAGTGTGAGAATCTGAGCTCTGCTGCCATCAGACACTGGTTGTAGGCAGTGCCACGAGATGGCAGCAGGAGCCTGCCCAGAACCTGCACCAGCCCCAAGCACAGCTGCAACAGCAACGTTGGAAAGGACAGAGGAAAAACCCATTTTAGCCACTTAAAACTAATACATCCACTTCCACTGTTAAGTCCTTCTTTAAGACATGGAAAGACAAAGACTAAAACAAGTAAAGTTTCTTACTGAAGTCGATGAGGAACCTGCCATAGCCCTTACGCTGGTATTGTGGAAGAATCATTATACAGGAAACGTTGTACTTCTGCTGGCAGTGTTTTTCCTGGTGGAAAAGAAAAGCAGAAGAACGGTGAGAAATAGTAGGAGTTGTTCTGTACACGTTCCTAAGTAATTTTACAGCAAAAAGTGAGAGGGGAAGCCACAAACAAAAGATAAAAAATCTTAAGAAAAGGCCTATCTGAAATCTTGGTCCTGTTCCCTCAAAAAAATAAAAGGTTTCAAACGAGGTGCAAAATTGCCAAACTTGTTTGGAAAACAATGTATTCACAGAAGAAAGGTGAGACAGAACAGTTGGTAATTCTGTTTATCTCACAAACAGTACTCCCCATCTCCACCAAGAGCAGGAAGTCATTTGAAGAGCTCTTCTTTAACCACTGGCTGCAGTACAAGTTCCTCAGCAAATATATGCTATTCAACATTCTGAGGAAACCTGGGTTTACTAACTGGTGGTCTCTGAATGTAACATAAAAGAAATCTGGTTGCAACAGATGCCTACACCTGTATTACATAATTTATTACGTAAAATGCAAGAGCCCCAAAAATTACAAGAAGTGAAGACTCCAAAGCAGCATTTCTGAGCCCAGCAAACAGTTTGTACTCAAACACTCACCTTGGAAAAGTAGCCAACAAGGTGACAGCCCTTGACATCGTTCTGGGTCAGCACATAGAAGAGAAATGGCTCCACGTCGTAATAGAGAGTCTTGTGGTCCAAGAAGAGCTTGGCTAACAAGCACAGATTCTGGCAGTAGATTGTGCTGACATTGCCATCAACCTGACAGACAGGAGGGAAAGCTCTGTCACCCCACGTGCTGCCAGGCAAGCTCGTGCTCCACCTGAGTGTCCCCGGGGGGTTAAAAGGGATAACATGAGAGGAAGACTCCTCTGCTCCAGGTGGTGTCTCAAAGGACTTGAAACTGCCCCAGAACAAAGGCTGGGACCAATTCCTGTTACATTCATTAGCTTAAGGGACAACTTAAAATTAATTTTCCTAAAATGAAAGAAACACATTTTTACAAAGTGAGTTTTCTCCTGTTTTGTGGATGAATAATCTACATACAAGGTCAGTTCCCACTCCTGCTTGCTCATAGTTCTTCACTCTTGGCAACTGAATGTTTCAAGAACGAAGATCTTTTGGGTTGTGAAAATCTTATCACACAATTAGGTGCTGAAGATCCTATTTTATAGATAAAAGTGAGTGACTTAGTTTTCAAACTTACCTCAAAGACTGAAATATTGTTTTTCCTGTAAATTTCATTGGCTGGAGGATGAAACCAGCCACATTTTTTCATATGCTGTTGGAGAATAGTTCTGCTTTTCATATACTTTAGACAGAATTCACAAAGGTACAACTTAGGTAGCCTGTAAGCAAAGGCAAAGAAAGGTCAGAGACTGAAGATACAGACTTGTGTATAAAATTCCTCACTCCTGCAGACTGAGAACTTGCTGACAACAAACCCAGTGAACACTGACCTCGTGTAATGTGCTAATCATAGGCAAAACCACCTCACCATAGTTAAAGCCATGGCATTTACTTCTTCTGTAACAAATGCACATTTAAAAAGTGTCCTAATGTCCTGCATCATTACATTTACAGTATTAAGTTATGCCAGAAGAAACAGAGGCATCGATTCAATCCTATAAAAGCAAAGTAATCCCTCCCAGTTTTGCACAGTGATCTGGGATGGATGAGATGAACAGTTCCCATTCCTCCCTTCCCTCCTCCCCACAGAATATGGACACACCCCTGAGCACTGGGTCACACTGACATGAACAACTGCAGAGCCAGTGTCCTGCCACTGTTGGATTTAACTCCAGTTACACACTCCAGCCTGGGCAGGAATTGCTGTTTGCAGTTACCTCCAATGGCTTTAGTACAGCTGCAATAACTCCTCATGACAGACCATGTGTTCTTATTAAATGATGAATAAAGAGCTTCACTTAATTTTCTTCCTCTAGTTATAGCCCTTAGAAGTCATTCCTCTTTCAGAACAAAGTTGGAGTTTGAAGAGTTTGCAGTTTAAACAGTTTGCAAAGGTCTCAGGTAAGAGAACCTCAGAACAGCCACACGCAGCCCAGCACAACCACCCTCCAGACACCAAAGTGTGAGAGGTTCCTGTGCCTGCAGGAGCACAGAACCCACAAACACTGAGGCAGAACCCAGAGTCTTACCTCGAGTACTCCTGGGGGTATGGGGAGGAATACCAGGTCTGGATTTCATATTTGCCAAACTCAATGACAGAGGGGCAGCGGACCTGGGGGTCAGGAGGCCCAGTCACCCCTACTTTCTATGCAAGGGAAAAAAACAAACAAGTTTTCATGAATTTCCAAGTGAAAGACTTCTAAGCTGAAATAAATTAAAACATTCTTATCTCCACAGTCCATCCTACTCAAACTCAGAGAGAACCAGCAAGATGCAGATGTTGTTTTCTGACACTAAACCCAGTGCCAGTCACACTTCAAGGAACCACATGATTCACAAAAAGAATTATAAGCACTGTCACACCACAAACCTCCACTGCCTTCCCCACTGCTGCATGGCAGAGTTTTAAATGCAGATTAGCACACAGTGAAGTTTAACACAATCTTTCTTTAGTCTCATTGTAATTTCCTTTCCTGTTATTTCAACAGCCCAGAACAGAAACACAAGCTGCTCCCGAGGTTAAAAACTGGAATATGCAAGTATTTAACATAATGCATCAGTGTCTTCCCAGTTTTGAGACTGGATGTACTACTGTGAATGTAGCAGCTACCAAACCAACGTTCAGGGTGCAGCCACCTCCTTATCATCACAAGTGCAGAAGAATTAAAAACCACCTCACATTTATAAGAAGAAAAAACAGCAAAAAGAGTACTTTTTAATGACTTATACATGCTTTATTTCCTTTCTGCCACTCTGATAGTAACTGCATCTATTATGGCACCCAAAAATAAGGAAACTAAATGCTCTGCCTTCAAAGAAAACAAATGTTTTCTTAAGTCACGAGGATTTTATCCCAAAATGCCAAAATTTAACTTTACCTGCAGTGCTTGTTCCTGAATATCTCTGAACAACTCCATGTCTTTTTCATTTAAGACATCCTGGCTCCCAAAAAAACGGTCCTCATTTTCTTGTTTTCCATCCCAGCCATCCTGATTGTCTGTAAACAAGAGAGAAAATTGTCTTCACCTACATTTACAAAAAAGTGCTTGCCTTTAGAGCACCAAACAACACCTGGCTGCATTCAGACACCCTGCCAGGGTTTTTTGATGGGATTTTCTATTCAGATTTGGGACCACAGAGAAAGAACCAGGAAAGCAGAACTGCATTCAGAAGAAGGGAAGGGATGCTTTCCAGCCAGAAGATGCCAAACTGCACAAACAGGCCCCTCTATGGCTGAGAAACCTGAGAACCAAGCCCAGACCACGGATCAGAAACTCACGGTCTGTCAGCCTGGTTTGAATCACCCATTTCCCATTTCCCACTTCTACACTGCTGCTCTTATTTTCATTAACCACTCCCTATGTTACCTCTTTCAAATGTGACATAATTTAGCATGTCTTCTAGGGCATTTTACCTCACTGTAATCATTTAATCCCTCAACAGACCTTGCAATCACATATAAAGAGGCAAAGGTCTCTAGGATCACTTCCTTTTTCCAACTGGTTCTACCTCAGTGCACCAAAGAAAGCTGCATTTGAGTGTTGAACTGCAGCTCAGAGTCTCCACTCTCCAGCAATTCCACTCACTTCAACATCCTAGCCTTTGAACATTTGCTTGGTGTACAGGATACTTACATTGGCAGGGTGAAAGATCTTTACCTGTGGGCCATTCTGAAGTGCTGGATTTCCTGGTACCCTTTTTCCTGATCCTGTACTGCTGGGAATAGTCGACCACCTCCCCTCGAGCTTTCCGTCCGTCGGGGGAGGGAGTGAAGAATTTAGTAAGGCCATCTATGAGCCCTTTGGTTTTCTTGTTGAACTTGAGGGTGTTGCTGCCATCTCTGCAGAAGTCCAGGACATCTGTCTGCTCCAGGTATCCCCCCTCTGCCCCCGGGGCCTGCCCGGACAGGGTCATCTTGCGCTTCCGGCCCCGACCCGGCCCCGCGCGGACTTTGCTGAAGGGGCCTTTTGACCTGCAGGGTGGGAAGGGCAGAGATGTGGCCAGGAGAGCTGGGGAGGGCACTGCCACCCTCCCTGACCCACCTGCCAGCCCCACACCAACTGAACAGGACCTGAGGGATTTAAAACTGCAGCAGCAGAGACCCTGTGCACCCCACGGGAGCAGCATTTGAACCCCTCAGGAGAAGCACTGGGATGGTTTTCTCCACACTGAACATTATGAGAAATTAATCTGAATATAAACAAGAGATTTTCACCACATTTAATACAACATTAAACTTTGGAATTGGTAACCAGAATGAATACACTGCACACAAGGCTTCAGTTTCTGCAGTCATTACACATTTACACTTGTCACTTGTCAGAGTTTTTGCACTGATCAGAAATTGCTGTAAGAACACAAAAAGTTAATGCGTGCAGGACACATATCACCTAAGAACCTTCACCACTGGTGGTCAGCTTAGCTGAGGACAGCGTTCTCCAACCAGCTGCCATCTTTCAGGTTGGAAATTTTAAAACTCTCTTGAAAGTATTCAAGAGGTGTGTGGTGTGGCTTGGGGATATGGGGAGTGGTGAACACAGTGGTGCTGGGATAAAGTTGGACTCAATGATCTTGGGGGTCTTTTCCAACCTAAAGGATTTTATGAGAGAACTGAGTATTCAACACTTCTTAGAGGGACTGCCCTAGAAGTTACTTCTAGTCTTTCACAGCCCTTTTCAGAAAATCTGTATTAAAGACTAATGAACAGCTCTTAATTGTAAAAGAAATCTTCCCACAAGGCAAAGCAGACACTGCAGAAATCCCCCCTGTCCTCCAGGATCTCACATTTCACTCTTCCCTGCAGAACTTACGTTGTGTTTTGATTCTTTAGCCTGTTCTTGGGCCGCCCGATGGGGTTGGCGTAGCGTCTCTTGATCTGAGCTGCCTTCTTCTGTAACAGCTTCCTCCCCTTCTTCCGGGGCCGACAGATCTGACAGATCCACATACCTGCAAGGCAGAGTCCCCACCACTGAATGCAAGAGACATACAGCTCAAAAAGCAGAATTACAGCCCACAGGCCTTCTGAGAGTAAGAGCAGGAATGGCACCATAGGCCTGGATTGCACATATAGGGGTAAGAGAAATTATGTGTATGCTTCAACAATCTAAACTTGAGTTAATACTCCCCACACCCCAAATAGTTCCAAACATGAAGGAAATCTCTTTAATTGGCAGCACGTCATCAAAAAACCATAATTTAATGGTTAATTATCCCTTTATCTGCTTATGACTGTACTACTTCCAACTATCTTCTATAGGAAAATTTTCTTATAACTACCAAGGAAGAATTTTCCATAGATAACCTGCTTTCTGACCGAAAGCTCATTTGTCTGGGATACTCTACTGTCCAACTGAATGTGACTTCAAAAACTTCTAACTCCATCTCTTTCTTTTGGACGAGGCTACTCATTCAAATGGAAGTTGATCCTTTTAACCTGCAGGGATCACTTCTATTCCTTCAAATCTCAAAGATTTTTTTTCAAAACCCTTCACAGACAGTAAAGTACAGGAAGCAGGAGATAGTGGAAAATCTGGATGTGAAGCTCTGACCCTTCTCTGGTTTCTAATACCTGAAAAGCAATTCCATAAAAAACAAGCCAAATGCAGCTAAAAGTAGCTAAAAGAGGACTAAGTAAGTGGAAGCCCTGTCTACCCACTGATCTCTTCCCACATCATCTTAAAATCATCCTTTTCATGACACAGTCCTCACCTTTTGGCATCCTGGTGAGAGGAGGGTCGCAGCATTCCATGTGAAAGCCACGGTCGCAGGAGTCACAGAAGAGCATGTTATCCTGGGGAGACAGAGGGAGTGAACCAATGAACCTCTCCTTGGATGTGCACCAGCACCAAGCCCTCCTCTAACCCATCACCAGCCCAGAGAACAGGCACAGCTTCTATCTGCAGACATATCAAGGTATTCCACAGGTCTCAGAAGGACTCCCAGACTCAAACAAAAGCTGCAAGTCTTTGCCTCCAGAAGGTTTTATTGTGTAGTTGAACAGAACAGCCCCAGGGCTGCTGTGCTCCCCCTGCAGCCCCAGCCCTGCAGCCCCAGCCCTGCAGCCCCAGCCCTGCAGCCCCAGCCCTGCACTCACAGCATTCTTGCCCTGGTCTCGACAGGAGCTGCAGGTCTTGCACTCGATGCACTGCCACCGCAGGGCCTTCACCCGCACCGTCAGCTCCGGGGAGAACTTCAGGCAGGACGGATGACCTGTGGGAATGGGGGCAGAGCACACCAGTGAAACCATCCTGCTGCTGGGGATGGTCACAGAGAGCTCACAGAGACATTGCTGGGTCACTTGTGGATTCCCACGCAGAGTTTGGGTTATCCAGATACTCCTATTTTTAGATGCTTCTATTCTTATCTACTTACAACACAAAACCAATGCCCCAGATTGCAAGTGGCAGGTCCACACACAAAAGAACACAAAGGTAATTCTTCACAACTGAACTGAGAAACATGATAAAACTGGTCTTTGTTGCCATATTTTTAAAGACACTTTCAGGAGCCAAATGAACTATTTGAGGCTGACTCGACTGAACTGTCTCCCCTCTGAAAGCACAAGGACCAGCTGAACTAACTGCACTCTCTGCCCCAGGAGCAGATTCCTCCCAGGTCTGGGTCAGCAGCAGTCACTGCACGAGACTCCTCTGTGTTACATGGCAAAGGTCTCACCAGGCGGGTCCTCCCCACGAGGGTGGGACAGAAGCAGGCACTGGACAAGCTCCTCTGCCCCAAGGGAAGGGATCAGCACCAGCAGCTCTGTAAAGGGTCACCTACCACTGTTGCCACAGTCAGCACAAGAGATGAGCTCTTCAGGCTTCTTCTCCCGGTTTTGCTCTTTTGTACCAAGGCAGAAACTGCAAATTGGAATTGGTTCAGCAACAGGCTGTGAGGAAAAGGGACAACAAAGGCACTGAGTGACTCGAGGGAACAAATCCTAACACACAAAGTGACACAGACATCTACAGATCATCTAAACTGTTGTGATGTGCACCACATCTCACAGATTTTACTCGGTTCTCACACTCAGTGCAGCACTAACTGTAACCTGGGCAGAAGTCAGCACTCCAAAGTGTACAACTGTTAACACCAGCACTTTTTATGTTCATTTCAGTCACGTGTCATCGTGAAGTTTCACAGAGAATCTCAACTACATGGTAATGGTCCTTCAGACAGAAGGTAAAAAGCAATATTTATTAATAAACTTTCGTGGGACTGAACATTCAAGAGCATCCATTTCCCTGCACATATGGTTAAATCTCACATTCTTAAAAACCAGTAAACTGTTTGTCTAACTCAAAGTTAGAGCCAATGTGACATTAAAGTTGCACTATGGAATCACAGAATCACAGGATGGTTGGGTTGGGAAGGGACCTTAAAGATCATCCAGTTCCACACCCCTGCCCGGGGCAGGGACACCTTCCACTACCCCAGGCTGCTGACATCCCAAAAAGTGCCCCCCACAAACATCAGTCCAACAGTGCAGCTGCATTATCACCACCAGTGAGTGCTGCTGGCATTTCTGGGCTGACTTTTTGATCTGAAAGACTACAATATTTTCTTCCCAGGAGGAAACCATACACTTTGACCCCCTGTTTCTTTTTTATCTGCCTCAAATCCATGAGGGTTATTTTATGGGGGGGTGGTGTACAATCCTCTGTCAGAAACAGTATTTGTGCACACCCTGTTCATCCCCACAGTCCTTCCCATTTGGATGTCCACATGCAAACACTGTCCAGGTTTGGAAGAACCAGATTAAAGACTATCCCTCGCAGCTTCAATGTTTCCCGTGTTTACCACCTCTGACAAGCAAAGACTTCACCACATTTTAAAAAAAAATCACCTACAGATGGGGGGATGGTTCTACCACCATTCAAAATGTTTTAGAGTAAGTAATTAAATTGGACTAATTTTGAATGTGGAGATCAGGCTACTCCTCCAAAAGGACTCCCTTTCTGTGTGAGACTGTTATGCTAAGTATGGAGGGATTTCAGTGCTGCTGTGTTTGTTCAGCAAAGAACATCCTGGCAAGTGGAAAACGCAAGCACACAATGAAAGATTGGTGAAAACAAGACTGGAAGCAGCCAGCTCAGTTTTATACTGCGGGTTTTTGGCAGACATTCAACTCCTTCTGCTGTTTTGCTCGCGAGCACATCTATCTGTGTGATGTCACCAGCCTCAGCGAGGGAGGCAGCCAGAACAAATTGGGCTGACAGTGTCTTGCAGCCTGCCAGCCTCCCAGCACATGTTGTTACTACACAAAGGGGATCCAGGAACCAAATGTGCTCCCCGGAGTCACCCACGGTGCCCCCTCCTAAAGGCAACCACGGACAAGTGCCCATGGAAAGAGTGTGTCTGTGTGTGTAATGATGTTACAGCCCCAGTTTGGGCCCATCCAGCTGCTTCCTGGTGCTCCTGGTTCAGGAACAGCGAAGCAGGAGCTCCTGAGGACTCCCAGCCCAGCCTGCAGCCCCAGTGTCCCCATGGATGCACTTCACTCCCTGCATTGACCACCCCGGGCATCACTGGGCACCAGGACTGGCTGTGCCCACATCACACACGTGCTCTGGGGTTCCTGGGGTTGGGGTCAGTGGGTGTGAGTTACACCAGTGGAAAAGGAACACAGACACTCACACCAACACTCTTCTTCCTTTGCTGTGCTCTGTAGCCCCCGGAATGTGAGCCCTGGGGGGCACTGAGAGGTGGCTGCTGAGAATTCACAGCAGGCCCTGCTGTTCTGTGGGTCTGTTCCCAAACAAGCACCACTCCTCACTGCAAATGGCCCAGGCTGGTGCAAAGGTCTGCCTCAAAAGCTGAAGCAGATGAACCAGAAAAGCCAGAGGGGAACTACAACCTACACCACATGAAGAAAATTATTTAAAACATGAGGAAACATGTTCCAGTGAGGAGGGCAGCACAAAGCCTGGATTCCAGGCCTTTTGGATCAGTGGTTGGGGAAGAAAACCACTTCAGCTCCATGCCTCAGTAAAATCAGAACCAATGGATTTCAGATTGTCAAAGTAATTTTACTAATCATGTGGGGTTTTCTGTTGTATATGGAGAAAAGTGGATAATTTGGGAAATACTACTTAGTAGTATCAACCTGTGGCAGCAATGGTTAATAACTAACCCTTCTTCTGTCTAAGTTACCAAATCACAATTTTTAATGTTCTCTCCAGACAGTCTGGTGAAGAAAAAATATGAAGCAACAGAGTAAAAACAGAAATTCCGTAAAATACTGTTTGTGCTCAAGAAAACAATGCTAAATATATTTTAATACACCCAAGAAAAACTGGTACCATAACACATGTGTGCTCTTTGCCTGTGCAAATGGATATTGTCTCCAATTCACTTGTTGAGTCTCACTTGAAAGAAAGAAGCTTATTTCTATGGCAGAATGATGGCCTAAAACAGGAGGCTATATTAAAACAAATGTAAGGAAGGAAAGGAAAATTGCACACAGAAGGAAGGACAAGCACAAAATACATTCCTCTTCCTAAGAGACACATATAAGGGTCACTTAAAAAGAAAAACCAAAGGACATTTGAAGTAAGTGCTGCTGTTTGAGGAAGGACTGTCACAATGGAGAGAAAATCTGAAATGCTGCTGCTACAAGAGTAAAGTGAAGTGTGAAGGCCAATAGCTTGGATATCAGGGAGGTGTACACAGGCTGAATTTTATGCAGTGGTTACCAACATCTGGAAACCCCCACAAAGAAGGAACATGGACACTCTGGGGCTGCCACTCAATCTGAACAAACTGCCCTGTCAGACATGCACGTGGCAAGAACTTCACAGCACGTCAAGTGGAAATATTTAGACAGTCAATCGTTAAATAACCTTCCCAGAGCCACCAAGTCCTCTAATCAGAGGATTAAAACCATGCAGGAGTTGTTCGTCACAATCAGGATCACAGGCCAGGACCTCCTGCCTGCAGCCTGGGGGTGTGGAGGGAGCAGAGGCTCCACTTCAGGATCTGCAGTGCAAAGAAACTCCCTCCACCCGACACTGGCTCAGGAACCTGGTGGGTCAAGTGTTCTGTACCCAAACTCAGATCCTGGGAGCTCTCCTGTACTTTGTCCTACCTTTCTAATTTTCAAGAAAATAAAGGATGCTGTCTTGGGAGTGACAGATGATTATATTACTCTATATTCTACATATTTATCTACATACATAGTTCTACATATTTTTAATTCTACGTATAATTCCTCACTATCCAAACCCACTGCTCAATATAACACTGTTGACAGTAAGATTTAACAAAATGCCACGTTCTTGACCCACAGTCCTCCTGCTGTGCTGTGCTCTCTCCCTGCACCCTCTGCACAGGCACAGAGCAGTCCCAGGGGAGCAGCCTCACACAGCAAGTGTGGCAAAACCCCAAACACACACAGAGAAAACCTGCTCCCAACAGCTCTGCTGCTGAGATCACCCCTACAGAGGCACTGGGAATTTGCAAAGCCAGGTAAAGTCTGTGTCCAGTCAGTTTGTACATTTTATGGATGTTTATTTTGGAAAAAAAATAAATAATTTTTAAAAAATGGGCAGCAGCACAAAGGCAGGACATCTCCTTGTTCCTGGGCTGGCACTCGGGGGTTTGCAGCTCAGTGATCAGCAGCTCCTGCAGTTCAGCCATTGCAACACAGCAGCAGAATTTACTTTCTTGCCTTCCACACACACCTTCAAGGAATTCACTATGAGCCCAGACAAGTTCAGAGATCCAGCACTACAATCAAAACACTCATTACTAAATATCCAGATTTGAGGCTCAAAGACTGAGGAGAAACCTAATCCCTGGGAGAGGCTGTACACTGTTCAGGAATTCTAAATGAAGTCAAACCATCCACACACATCTACAGCCTGTATCCAACACCACTTTTTCTGGACTTTTAAGATCAGAGGGAACAGTTTAACAGAAATGGGGTGAAATGTGCAGAACCAGTGATTTCTTTTGCAATTCAGAACACCTTCAGTTTTGGCAAAATTTCCATTTTACACACTGATAAGTAGAGATAAATTGGTGACTCGACTTGCTGGTAAAGGTTTAAAGGCAAACATTCCAGGAAATTAAGAGGTCCATTCTCATATTTTTAATAACACTTGTGCAGGTATTTAACTGTGCACCAAGATCCATAATTTGTTCTATCCAATTTTCCAAAATACAATGAACTCACAGAGGTATTGATAATTTAAAGTTTTACTAATTCACAGGTCTTCACAGAAACATGCTTGGAAGATTCAGTATTTCCATCCCCGAATTCCTGGTTCCTGCCCAGGTCCACAGACTGGTGACTGACCTTCCAAAGGACCTCAAAACAAGCAAATATCTTACAAATGAGACTCTGTTTGCAACACCAGGGTCGCTCTCCTCAGACACCCTTCCTCCTCTTTTCTTTTCCACCTCACTGCAAGTCCAGCTTCCCAACCAGAGCAGTGACAGTGGGAGGGCTGCCAGACCCTGGGACAGGAACAAGCAGCAGCATCCCCTGCCAGCAGCAGAACCAGGAGCTGCTCCAAGGAGAGGTGCTCACGGAGTGAGGAAAAAATCAGTGAGGACAGAAAAATGAAGTCAGATTTACACACCAAATAAAGAGAAAACCTAAGCAGGTGGAACAGAGCCTAACATGACTTATCACAGCTCGTTAGGGTAAATGCAGTTTGAAATGCTTGAACAAGGCAGGTAGGAAGGAAGCCCATCCACCCCCCTCCTCACAGAGGACAGAGGCTGAAATCTCAGCAGTCCTGCACATTGTGTTTGTTTACCAGATTGTGTTGACTGTGTATTTGTACTTATTTAAGAAAATTGAACCTATATTTTGACTAAAATGACAGTACTTCCTTTAATAATTATTCCTTTTCAACTGTTTTTCCTGCCACCACTATGACTTAAGATAAAATTGCTGGAAAACAAGGGGAAAGGCAGGGACAGGATTATCTGTTCCCATTTTCTCTGCTGTTTCTTCCCTTCCTACATAACAAAACCAACAGAGGAATCAAGCTGTTGTTTATTTATCAACATTCTCCATCATCCACCCTCCTCCCTGTCTGACTAGATTTTGAAGCTCTGTAGTAAATACAGTTCCTTTATTAACCAAACTCCAGAGATGTGTCACTCCATATCTGCCACCAATCCCCAGGACAGGAAGGACACACTGGACACATTGGGCTGCTCTCATTTTCACCAGGTCTCCAGTGCTGAAGCTGTGTCAGAGAACAGTGTCACAAACACCCCTGCACAGTGGCACCCCTGACACATCTGATGTCCTCCCCCAGGGACAGGTTTGCTCTGAGCTCCCAGGATTGGGATCCTGCAGAGCCCCCCTGGTGCCCTCCAGCCCCGTTCCACCAGCCCATGGCACCCACTGGCAGCTGCCCCTGCCAGGAGCACTTCAGAGCTGCTCTCGGGGGCTCTGAGAGCTCCTTCACCTGCTCACTAATCGAGTGAATAAAGTTCAAAGTCATTTCTTAGCCCTCTGGTTTCCAGAGTTACCCAGGGTGCAGATGGAGGCCATCTGTTGTCAACCACGGGATCTTTTAGACACAACTACAGACTCCTCTTCCCCAGAACCAGCTGGAGGAGAGTGAATCCTAATCCTCCTCCAGCTGGGAGCCAAAGCTGCAGAGCACCCTTGGAGAGCAAGGGTGAGCTGTCAGGATGTAATTACAATGCTCTGGTTGCAGATCATTTCTGTGCTCCACCCCGCACCAACCAATCCACAAACAACTCCTTCCCAGGAATGGGACAGTTCTTTCCTCTAAGACATGGAATTAACAGTTATTAACCTAAAACAGACACAATCCAGCAGTAGCTATTCCATGCTTAAAGGCCTTCAGAACAATCAAAGCACAAGAAGTTTGGCTCCATGTGAGTTTATCCATGTTTCTGGGATCCAGAACTGCTGCTGGAAGAGGGAAGGTCTAAAGGATGCTGCAGGTACAGCAACCCCCAGGGAAGGGGATTGGGGAGCACCAACAGATACAAAGAGCAATCCCAAACCAGGAAACACAGGCCACAAGGAACCCCTGAGCCAGCAGGGCAGGGAATCTGCTTTAAATATTACTCCTGGGTTTTAGCCACACAAGTTCCTCTCTTTTTTTCTTTTTTTTCCAGGAAACACTTCCAGAATTTTGGTTTTATACTCTAAGCTGGATATATTAAGATATTTACTTAAAGGTTGCTACAGCCATATTCAGTTTTAACTGACATAAAAGCCAGTTTCAAGGATAGTGCAAATGGAGATCAAATAATACCACCTGTATTTTCCTCCTGATTGAGGAAGAAACAGTCCTGCTATTGTCCTGAGATCAAATTTCAGATGCTCTGGAAACTTCCAGTGCACATGTACATCAATTATTTCAACTTCTCCTTCAGTTAGCTGATATGTTACCTTTTTTTTTTTAATAATAGCAATTTTACAAAAATTCTGACAGCGTTTTAGCCTGTGTTCTGTAACAAGTGTCCACAAAACAAAAGCAGAGCAAGCCACCTCTAAGGCACCCAGCCTTACAACCTGCCTCTTGCTACAGTTCAAGTCAAGACAGTCATGCCCACAAATGATAAAACTGTTCTCCTGAACCACCACCAGCAAACATCAAAGTTTTTGTCCAGAACAAGTAACACAGAAATAGCCCAACTCACATTTTCCCTTCTAAACTACTTTTCAGGAAACTGCAAGGAAAGGAAAGGCCACTTCCCTAAAGCCTTAAAACTGGAATTAAAGACTACTCTCCTTTTGTAGGCCACTGTCACTATCAGATAAGCAAATTGCAGCAGTGAGCTTGGCCCATCAGGAGGGGTTTTTTCTGTTTGCTTGTTTTAATCCAAGAAGTGTTTTTAGGCCAGGGATTTCAAAACCATAATGTCAGCAGCATGTCATTACTACCCAGCAAACCAGGACAACTTGCCAGGTCTTTTGCCCTTGAACACCAGAATGTGGTATTCACAGAACACTGAGATAAAAAACAAGATCTGAAAAAAAACAAACAGTATTTGCTAAACAAAGCTTCCGTAGTGCTGCTTTATGTTTATTTTGATTAAAAAATTTACACTTCAGCTTTATAGATTTCATGCAAGGTGCTCAATTCCATAATATACAGAAAACATCCAGAACTGAACGTTCACTGCCAGATATCCAACAAAGTGACAGTGACAGTGCTGCCAGACCCACCTGCAGCTGAGTGAATAAATGAAAGGAAAAAAATATTACACCTTTAAGATTCATAAATGTGCATCATATAAGGAGAGTTCTTAAATGCATGTTAAAGATCAAACAGTACAAGGATAAAAGATTAACAGCAGACTGTTAGGATTTCTCAGATTTGGGAGGTTGAACTTTTTTGTTCCTGTTACTCACGAGGCTCTTCTAAGAATCAAGAGAAACATTGTCACAACACTCCCAAAGAATCTGTACCAAGTATATTCCACTAAAGACAAAAATATTCAGAAGAATTTACTGAAGAAATCCCCTGCAGAATTTCTACTATGGCTACTGTGCATTCTCATGCTCCCAACAATCCTTGCAGTGTTCAGGCTGCTCAGATCTGAACAGGTGGGAACATATCAGAGAGCATTTCTAACAACCCAGACACACACACAGCAACTCCACACACAGATTTTCCCAGAGGGACAAAACACCAAATCCCAGACCAAATTCAGTATTTATGACACCTCAAATCATCATTCACCACTCTGAGACATCACTTTAAGAAAAGTGCAGGGAACAATTTATCTCAAAGAATATCAATGGGTCCTGAGTTTTGGCACTTCCCAAGGAGCCTGAAGGGCCTGTCAGACAGACTGTGTTAATAATAATAATAATATGCACAGCTAATATTTTCCACTGTCACCAGCACTCTCAGTCCAGCCACCTCATGTGCCAGGCTTGCTTCCATCCAGTTTTCACAGTGTTTTACAGCTCTACTGGCTTCATTACAGACAGAGCTGCAGATGTACACAGGAAACATTTGTAGACAGAGCACTTGAAAAAAGGATGGAGGAAGCTGCTGGAATTCTCAGCATAGTGATCCTGACTTCCTATGTGACACCAGCCCACAACACAACACTGACTAGATAAGAACTGTGGCCACAGTAACCCTCCCACAGTTAAATTAGAACTTCAGAGAAACTTTACTGGTGATAAAACAGCTGTGCAGATTTTGTTTTAGGAAGAAGACTCCTACAGTAGTTTCAAATCTTCAAACCCTCACAGATTATGAAGCAGTTCTCTCACCAGAGAGTGAAGCTGACTCCAAAAAACATGAGCAGCACAGACACAAAGAACTCATCCCAGAACAGGACATTTACAACAACAAGAAATTCCAATTCTGCTGAAAAACGTATCTTTTACGAGTAGAAAACACAGTTTTTACATTCTAGATGTCCTGGACACCAGTGGCACAAATATATGAATGACTGGCAAACTGATCTTCAAAAAATAAAACAGACAAACTGCTGCTTTACTTTGCACCCACAGCAGCAGAAAGAATGGAAAGATGGGTATGAACTTCACTCCAACAACTTCATCTTGAGACTAGAGTGGAAGATCAACGACCTTAGGCATGCAGAAGGATGGCAGAAAGGAAGGGAAGAAATAAGAGAAAGCAATAGAAAAACACTTTGTTTTGTATAATGAACTCCATGTAAAGTGGGTGGACAGTGGCACAGGGTATGGAAGTCCCTGAGTGCTCATCCCAGCATTTCCACACTCTCTAGATCATAGAATGCTTTGAGTGGGGACCTTAAAAAACATCCAGATCCAACCCCCTTCCACTAGACCAAGTTTCTTCCTATTTCACAACAAAGTGGTTCTGGGACAGAAAGGGATTTGCTCATTATGAACAAAGAAAGCCTCTAAGACAGCATTGGGTGGTAATTGCTAATCAGCACTTCACTGTGTTACCTGAATTCAAATAAGAAGGTGAACTGGCAGTCAAATAAAAATGGGAAAGTAAGAGATCATCTCAAATTTGTTTAGCAAATCCACCTCACCCTAAAGAGGGGAGGCTTTACTTCCTATGTTTTGCTAACACAACTCTGGTAAGCCTGTTACCATCCACTCAGTTCCACTGTACAGAAGTCAGGAGGTAAATTCTCCACAGCAGCTCCTTTGCAGTTTTCTGTTCAAAGCACAAACTGCAATCTATTACACCTCCTGTGATCCTGCTCAGAAATTTGGACACAGTAGGATCCTAAATGCACATTAGTAACTTCTAATTTACCAGATGCAAGTTAAACAAACCACTGACCTCAAACTGGGACTCTGTATTGTCACATCTCATCAATCACAAGAAAATGCCCGTGCAAGAACCGTGTCTTACCTTATCCTTTTCATGGGGAAGGAGACACACTGGAGGGAGACAGGAAAGAGACTCAAAACTCTCCTTCCCATCAGCATTAGTAGTTGCTTTAGTGTTGAGCTGGTAGAGAGGTCCATCTTTGAGGAGCCTGCCATGGCCAACAGCACGTTTGACAGCCAATCGTAATTGCTGGTGAAAGATGGAGGCAGCACTGCCCCCAAACAACGCTGACACATCTTTCTGACCCTTCAGAAAGCGCTCGATGTTCTTCAGGGATGAGCCACTGGACTCGGCCAAGCCCTCGATCGCCCGTTTGATGAGTTTGTTCCAGTCCACATTTGGTTTGCCATCCAGCTTGCCATGGTTCCGAGGCTTGGGAAGTGCTATTCTCCCAGGATTATCGGGATCCTTGTAGGAGTTGAGACCCTTGTTGGACACTTTTAAAATAGTTCCATCTTTCACGCTCAGCTCCAACTGTTCCAGAACAGTTTTGCGGTCCAGGCCGTGAGAAGATGACACTGCATTGCAAATCCTCTCCTCCGAAGGCCGCTGTTTCTGCTTCTTTACCTTTTTGATTGCCTCCAAAATCCACTCTGTGTACAGCGGGTTGGCGAGTTTTACCATGGTGAAGGATTCTGTATATCCATAGAGTCGTTATCCTTTATCCCGGTGCTGGACGAGTGTCACACCATGAGAAATCAGCCCCTCGAGTGCTGGGAGGCAGCTAACCATAGCACACACGTGTGCTGCTCTCAGGCAACCCCCTCGGCTCAAACATCATTCATCTGCACACTGAAGGGAAGAAAAGAGAACAATTAGAAACTTCTGCACTCCTTCCAATAAACTCCCCGACAACTCCACAGAAGGTTTTTCCACAAAGGTGTAGAGATTTTGGCATTTCTCACCTCAGCTTCTGATCTGCACACTCACAATCACAAGAACTGTAACATCAGGCCTGGAAGAAAACAAGAAGAGAGACATTTCCAAGGAACAGTTAAGAAGAAGAAAAAAAAAGCAGCAGACAATATTAATTCATTAAACACACAGCAGAGTTTTAAGCCACTACTACAGCTCTGAAATACTTAAGTAACACTTCAGGTTTTATCTTCACTATTAATAAAAGCAGACTTTAACACTGAAGTATCTCCATTCAACCCACAGAAAAACACTGGGTCCTTTCCATTTTGATTGATACATCAGGATAAATTCTACACCAAGTTTTATATCACTGCTGAGCACAACTTAATATTTGGGGGAAAAAAGAAACCCCCCAACAAAGATGTTAAAAAAGCTGCAGGTCTCTTCAGTTTTGCACATGGAAGACACTGCCTGAAACTTCAGCAGAAGGCGGGAGCAGCCAAGAGTCTTGTGCAAACAGCAAGAAACTTTCAGAGCTCTTCCAGGAGTGTAATCATAGGTCTGTTTGCCTTCTGCTAAGAAAAGCTATGACAGTTGTTCCATAAAGAAAAAAAAAGCAAAGACACAGCTGGAGATTGTAATCAAACGTTCCACTTTCAGAGACCATAGAAAAAAAGAATGCAATGTGATTTTCAGTATGGATGAGGCAATGTGAAAACACTTGAGGACACAGTAACAGGTGACCATGCACAGAGAAGAAGGAATGCTTATGACACTGTTAATTAAAGATGCTAATGAAAGGGTATGAGGCTCTACTTCAGAGCATTTAATAGTTATCTTTAACAAAGACCTTTTCTAAATGTGATAACAGTCTGTTGTGCTGAAGTTCTACTGCAGGAGCACAGTAACCGAGAAGGGTCCGTAAACTGTTTATCACAAGGAATAATGATTTTCTGCAAGCGAAGTTTTAGACAAGAGCTAAGTTGTCAACACAGTTTTCCCGTTCTCCTTTCCAGTAAGCACTGAAGAATTTATCAACACACAGAAGGCATTTCCACACAGACATCAGACTCGACCGCTCAGCTCCACACGGCCGGTCCCGGGGAGATCCCAACCGGCTTTCAGACCGGGAAGGACGCGGCGCTTGTCCAGAGTTCTCTACAACAGACGTGGAGGGGAAAATGGTCCCCGAGACGGGCCCTCCTGGCCGAGCGGAGCTGCGCTCGCTCGGTGCCGCTGCCCGCCGGGGCCCGGGGGATGCCGAGCCCGGGGGATGCCGAGCCCGGGGGATGCCGAGCCCGCTCCCGCCACAGCTCCGTGCGCAGGGGTTACGTAACCGCCCGGCCAGGCCCGGCCGCCCCGGGACGGTCCCGGCCCCGGGGGGGTCTCTGCCCGCTCGCTCTCGCCGTGACAAGCGGCCCCTGCACCTGCTACCGCCCGTCCCCCTGCGCTCGGCGGGCGGGTCCCGCGCCCCGAGGGGGCACTGCCCCGGCACGGGGACCCGCACCGGCGGCATCGGGAGCGGC